AGTAGTAGTGGTGGTGGTGGTGGTGAAAATTCTTGTACTAGTAATAGTAGCTTAAGTCACTTAAGTCCTAAACCCTAAACTCGCAGGTCGCGCCTTTCTCAGAGCGTCTTCGTCTTCATCCTTCTTCTCGTTCTTCTTGGCCCCAGTGAAGGCGTCTACCTTGATCTTCTTCGTGTCCTCGGTTTAGGGTTTAGGGTTTACCGTCATAAACAAAATCACAAGTGTTCCACTGTTCCACAAAGCTCCGTGTTCTTCGTTCTGATTCGGGGATCTGGATCCAGAGACCATAGAGCGCGGACTTAACATCGGGATTTGATTTTGGCATGGCTGAGCTTCACAGCGCTAGACAGTTGAGTTGAAATGTCTATAGACAATTATAGACACTTCCAAAGCACGAATCATATCGCTTGGAAGTTTGAACGCCTCGCAAGTAACTCCAAGCCCGCCACTTGTAAGCCCAAAGCACGCTGTTTGTGTGTGTCTGTTAACGTTGAACCTCGAACCGTGAACTCGAGCTTTGGACAATCCCAGTACTGTGTCAATCGATTCACAGCGTCACAATACGGCCTATGGTGTTGTTTCTGCTGCGGTGAATGCAACACAGCACGCCATCCGGACTCCTACGTCCACTGACAGCGCCGTCAAAAGCGAGTCCGAATCATCGAATCGACTTGGCTTGTGAAGCATGGGCCAAAAAAACATGTGAAACCAAGCGTGTTAGAAGGGTAGCTTCTGAAAGTCAAGATGTGCAGCACTGGAGCTAGACGTGGTGATCACGTCGTCTCAAGTGCAACTTTGATGAAGCTCAACCATTCGTAGTAAGGCCAGGAATTGTTCCCGCCACCGTAAAACAAGTTCAACTAATTATTCAGGTTCCTGTTGAACCCAAGCACAGTCGCAGGTTTTTCAACGCCGGTCACATGGTGCATCGCCTTCTGGATCACATTTCTCGCCATCTTTGTCCAGTCCTTCAATGATCGACTGCCAGAAACCAACGGGATCTCGGTTTGTGCCAGTTGTTTGGCAGGCTGTGGCTTTGTCTTGATCTGAGCACTCCTGGTCACAGGAGCAAACCAGGTAGCAGTCCTGCACTTGCTGCAAGGCGTTGCAGCAAGCCCCCACAGATGTAGCACCACTCATGACTTTGCTGTAGCCCGACTCACCACAAATCTCGTTCGATTGTGGGATCTTCTCGAGAAGGCAGTTCCCGATCAAGTCACCTTCATAATCACATAATTAGAAGAGGGGGTTTGGGGCATAATACAAGTATTACAGCAAACTGGGAATAGGGAACTGTATGGAATAACCTGGTTCCGGACCAAGTCACGATCACAACCACAGCCGGCAAGCATCGTTGCCAAGGCAGTAAGGGCGAGAGCTAAGATACCGCGACGAAGCGACATGGAGCTGCTTCTGCGCCCCTTTAGGCGGGAAAGAAAACTGTACAGACGTGCTTGGAATGGATGACCTGAGCCGCGAGTAGCCAGGTTTTAAAGTTAAGGCCCTGCGTGACAAAGGGCAAAACCCGCCATGCAACATAATATCTGATTGCATCTACCAGGAAAGACTTTGCAGCCCGACTATTCCTACACTGGTATTGGCAATGGGAAAATAGTAGTGGTGATATATTGGGTGAGAAGTAGGGGGGAGTATGGGCAGGATCCTCTAATGAGGTGGCTGGTGGTCTTATTCTCCAAAACGGGCAAGGGTTCTGCTGATGTACAGCAGGGTGCAATGGTTCACCTACGGGGAGCTGTCGAATTGCTACCCCGCGTATGCCAACTGGGTGAGGACATGTAGGGGGCAGGGCAGAAACCCCTTCTGCCCCGCACAAACGAAGATTATAGTGTAGGTTTTAGGGTTTAGGGGAGCATCAGCCACGTTTCCACCTCGCCCACGAAGGCGGCAGAGTTCTTGCTCTTCTCTGCGATTGCCTTCGCTAGCGAGGATTGTTTCTGTGCGCGGGGGGGATCCAAGAGTGCAGGGCATCAGGGCTCACGCTTCAATTCGAAGTTCGGTGTCCAAATTGTGATCTCATTTGGGCGTCGCTCGTATCCTAAACACTACATGAGCGGGAAGTTGTGGCGTAACTATGACTTGAGTCAGTCAATCATGGGACGTCATTCCGCATCGTCGGGCGGTGCAACTACCGCGAGTCGAGAGAACATCAGAGTAACAAGTGAGGGATACTGACAGCTACAACAATGACAAGAATACCGAAGCTACTGAAGCCAGAACTAGCCAGAACTGATAAACTGTTTGAGTCCAGGAACACAAAGGTACGTGGCATAGACAACACACAACAGCAATAGTAAGTATAACTACATTGCTTTTCGTGGGTTGCAGCGAGGAGTCTGTTGTCCGACTTGCCCCTCCCTGGCTTAGACATACTTCTTCGAGGCTAGGAAGTAACTGCCGACGCAAAAAAGCGCCAACCACCAATCCAAGGCAAGAAGCAGGAGAGACAGGGAGCCGGGGAGAGAGTTAGAGAGAGCAAAGATCCGAAGGGTAGGGGACAAACGGAGGTGGAAGGCCCTAAGTCCCATAGTCTTCAAGGGCGATTCGAGCTTTATCCACACCTGTGATGGAAACCTGCAGATCTTCACGCGCGTCTCGAAGTTGGATGCTTTTTCTGGGACGCGGTTCGATTTCGATTATAATAGTGACTTGTGACTTTAATAGTGTTCACAAAAATGGGACAGACAGCCACATTTAGGGAACTGTAATTCAGTCCTGCGGTGCTTTGCCGTTTTGTGCAAACGACCTGTGCATGCAAGCTTGGCTTTTCCGGGCATAGCTGATGTAAAATAAAAGCTGCTGCTCCAACTCCTCCCGCTACTCGTGCTGCTCCTACTGCTCCTACTACTGTACTCCGGCTGGTCAGTCCTATAACTCCTACTGCTCCTACAACTGCTATCACTCCGACCACTACCACTACCACCACAACCCACGACGACGACTTCTACGAGCTAGTAGTACCGTCGTTCTCATTCCTGCACGAATACCAGGCTTTGCGAAAGCACCGTCTTCTCACTCTACCTTCGACGAAAGCATAGGCCCTGATCCCCGTCCTTTCTCCGATACGTCCATGCGAAGACGGATTCGTTTGAGGTGGGATTTGCAGGTTTTCTTAGCATTAGAGAATTTAGGGTCGGAGGCCTGGTGGCTTGGAGCGACTGACCCACTATCATGCCGGTGCCTCGCGCCAGAATCGCTTGGCGCCGCCCTTGCCCACCGCTTTCTCCACCTTCTCTAGACCTCAGAAGCCATGTTCTGCAAGCTGGGTCCTCAAGCCCGAGCTCCCAACTTTCTGCCCCGAGAATCAAATCGAAAGACAACGAACCGGAATAAACAGCAGTGATCAATCGCATGTTCTCAAAAATTCAGCCAATGCGACCAAAGAGTGTCTTGAGCTGACCTCGGTCATTCTCCGGGAAGACCTGCATCAACAAGGACGAGCCCGCCGAAACCATTTTGTGGGTCCTTCCTTTGTAGAGATGCCCCTTGTTGGAGGATCTCTACTCTACTTTGAGCAATCTTCCTTTATTCAGGGATTCTCTATCAGGACTTGGCTATTCGGTGTCTGTACGGATGAGCGGGATGTTCAAGTAGGTATAGCTTATTAAAGAAATCCCACGGCTCGCGGTAAGTAAGACTTGGCCACCCCAGCCGTTAACCAGTACAAATGACAGCACTGGTCCTCGAAATGCTGGCGAACTCCGGAAACGAATGCAGCGGCGGGTAGCCATGTACGCTGAAGGATTGGGAGGAAAATGGAGGTAAAGGAGTTGGAGCATCAGCAATTTCAGCAATTGCTTCATCGCCCGAATCTTGCTACACAGGCCGTCGCCTTATCCAGCTGGGCCACCGCAGAAGCAGGTGGAGCCAGGATCGTGTCGCTGAGCTCCGAAGGAGCTGGTTTCAGCGCAGCACCTGCAACGAAAGAGAGCTCTTGCTATCGCGAACCTAGCGATGTACAGTATACAGTACATAGTATAGTCTAGTCTAAACTAGTATAATGCAATTGGTATTTTACAGTATAGCCTATAGCTGTATAGCTGACGGCGTCAGCAAGCTTGCCCGGCGTCCGAAGCCCAGTGTTGCGACCTGGCCTGGGGTCACCGCGCGCGAGGCCAAAAAGTCGTAGAATCTGGCCAGGGATGGATTGCTCGTCTCTTCCGGCCTCGGAAGGCACGTGGGAACCGGCCTGGGGCCCTAGGACCTAGGCCTCTAGCAGTGACGAAGCTCTTCCAGTCAAAACGGTTCGTTCAAAGCTGCAGCCTCTAAGACTCTATGCTTCGGAAGCAAAGCTGCCTGAGCATCTCATTGCCAGCCGTCAAAGTCAACCTTGCTAGCCCGTGCAACGCGTCAGCACTTCGGGGGAATGGAGGCAACAAATGGAAAGCAAACGACCTCCACATTTCCACTTGCCGCATGCCCTACTGGCAAAAGCTTAGAGCACGGAGCCTTGAACCCTAAACCCTGAACCTACAAACTTGAGTTCTTCCGCACATGTCCTGCAAAGAGGCCAGACCAGCCTGGGTCCTTTCCCGAGAGGGGGGCGGTGTTGCCTGGAATCCTAGAACACACAAACCCCAAGCCGCTTAGGGCTTAGGATTCAACGGTTTATGATTGTACATTTATGAGATATATATATATATATAATAAGCTTTAGACACTCTAAGCCTGTTCGAACACCGAATAAACCCTGGGCCAGCGGCCCGTCGACGATCTTGGACATGGCGGCGCGCTGATCGCTCGTCGGCTCCTCGGAAGTCGCGCGTCGAAGAAACTACCAAACTCGGCGAATGCCGGATAAGTCTTCACCAAAACAAAACAGAAACGGGGAACCGGAGAATTAGACGTAGGGCCCGTTTCCTTTTGCACCTTGGGCGATACGGGGCAGCATGAGTCTCGGAGCCGCGAAAGTTTCTGGACTCATGAGGATTGCACTCTTACCCCAAACCCTAAACCCCTTCTTGAATGCGAGTCAGCCACCGGCAATGAAGCACAGGTCCAGGGTCCTTGGTACATGCTCACACACTAGTTTCAGGATCGAGGTCCGGCTATCGCTCTTCAAACAGCCGAAGAAAAGACGAGCACCGCCTCTTGGTAGTTTCCGCTGTCTTCTGAGCTGTTGACATGGAGAACCTCAAACCCTGCAGCCCAACTGAACCTGACAATGCCTCACTGGACCGGCCCCCTTCCCTCTGCAGAGGCGGTGAAGCCAAAGAGCTTACATCTTCCTCGAAGGGTAGAAACTGTATGACCATGTGGGAGGCAGACTCTGCACCTGCAGACTAAAGCTCAAGATCTCAGGTTTAACAGGATGCTCTGTAGGCTTTGGAGCGACAGGCAGGTGGTCCTTCCGTGCCATCCGCAAGCGTGCCCTCTGACAGCAGGACAGTGTCTATAGAGAAAAATGTCTAAAGAAGTCTAGAACCATTATTAGAACCCTTGAGAGGTACCCGAATAGAAACCGCACAAACGCCAAGACCCCGGTATTTAACCAGGCAGGAAGCACTTCTTGTGCCTCAGAACCTCTACAATATCAGCCCGAAACCCTAAACCCTGATCATCCCCAGCCTTTCTTCGGGATGAGGGCAACCATGTGGGGTTGCGAGTCTTTCCTGTCGGAGTCTCGGTCACGCCAGCTTCAGTAACTGCATACACATGACATCGACATTGCACACATACACACATATTCTCACACATACCAAACACAAGCATACACAAACAGCCACACGCACATATTATATACATATAAATGTACATATATCGCTCTCTCTCTCTCTCTCTTTCTCTCTTTCTCTCTCTCTGCTACTTGTCTTTTTATAGGCGCCATGCCATGTTTAGAGCCAAAGATAAAGATCTCGACCTCCCCTTGTTTGAACTTAGCCCCTCGAGCCGGGCTCGACCCCTTGACCCCCCGAATGTTTAGTAAGGGTTGAAGGGTTTGGGGTTTCGACTCACACACTCGCACGAGGATGGCATGGCGTCTGGGGTTTAGGGTTAGGGTTGGTGGCTTCCTGAATCCCCGCTTAAGAAGGCGTTTCTGGACGAAGGATTTTTGAGGGCGGCGAAACAGACGGTAGCCGGGGCCTAGGTGCGGCTTACGGTTTAGGGAGCTTGAGGTTATCCAGGGGTTGGCAGCTTAGGACCCCAGGACCTCCTGAGAATACCACGAAGCATGGCCCGAATTCTTCAAGTGTCCCATGCCTTTCACAAATGAGTTGGATTTTGGGGTTTGTATTGTACTATAAGTATATGGAAACTACATAAGGGTGACACATGTTTATCACGAACCCTTCCAAATCCCCATGTTGCATTTGGACAACGACCCTTTTTGAATGCGGACCTTGCCGATCAGTCAGGGAACCCCCTCAAGGAGGGCATGACACCTATCGAGGCCTATGGAGGGCCATTGGGGCGCATTGAACATTTAAGCCCGTTTTGAAGCTTATTGAGCACTATTGGTTGTCGGTGAGGCCTCTGCGTTCTCTAATCGGATACTCATGCTTGGCCTATCTTGGCAGATCTTGCCCTTGAACCGAACAGCCTCAACCAAAAGCCAATGGTGCTCAGCCTCAAGGACCTTCCATGGCAATGGCCCTCAGTGGACCTGTTTCATTCACTCCTTGAGAGGCTGGCACAAAAAAAGAACACAGTCCCTGATTACACTCTCCCAACCCTGAACCAAATAATAAACCCTAAACCCACGATCCTGTAGACGTACCGTGCAATGAGAACCCGCTGCTCCGCGAGCATTGCCTGAGCCGGCTTTCCCAAAACTTCGGGGGCCCACAATTCCTATCGGAGATACGATAAAGGGTCCAACACAGCGGGCGGAATGAGCAAATCTGAAAAGAATATTATAAAGTCCATTACAGGGGTTGTGTATGTATGTATGTATGTATGAATGTATGTATGTATGTGTATATATATACATATGCATATACAAACGTATATACATATCTGTGTACATATATATATATACACACATATGTATATGTTTTCCGTTGCTATGGGGTTGCATATCGGGTTTACTATGCGGGCGAGTATATATGAACCCTCAGGAATCTCGTCGTCGCCATTCCAACAGCCAAAAAGAGCCCTACAAGTCCTAGAAGCCCTAAACCCCGAAAAAGCCCTAATCGCAAAGCCAATAGCTCTATAAACCCCAAAAGCCCCCACAAGTTGCATAAAGCCCCAAGCCAACTCTTGGCATGCTAGTGCTGCGGAGAAAACCCAAGGTATGAGCAGGTCCGTGCGGTCGCTCATCCTTGTCATCTGTGAATCTTCCGTCGTCGCAGTCATCATAGGTATGTTCTGTAACATTTGTAGTGCATTTCACTATCTTGTTGTAGTATACCCATTCAAAACCTCACAGGCTCCCACCCAAAAGCCTGAAACCACTAGGCAATCCAACGACCATCTTCCGCCGCCAAACCGCGGGCGTCTGAAACCCGAGGAGGCAGAAAGGACTGAAGCAGTTCATCAGGATGAGACATCGTAGCGAGGTCACAGGTCTACGTGGGACCTTTTACGCACTTTTTCTGAACACCCATCAAGAACAAGTCCGAAGACCCCTAAACCCCTAAACCCTAAACCGGGGCCGGCTGCCTCAACCAGGGACTCGAAGGCATAGTGGGCCCATGGGTCGCCTTTATCGGCTGCCAGGGTGTCCACGGTGTGCATGCTACTCTCCTCGCCGGACGAAGGGAAGGGCAGAAGCCGAAACGCATAGGGTTTAGGGGTTTAGGGGTTTAGGGTTTAGGGGTTTAGGGGTTTAGGGTTTAGGAGTTTAGGGGTTTAGGGGTTTAGGGGTTTAGGGGTTTAGGGGTTTCAGAGAGGGGGGCATCTCAACATTCGGGTTCACTTGATTGCAATTCAGCGTCCTTAACTAGCGATCCTAGGGCCTGTCATTGCTAAGCCACTGAGATCCGGGGAGTTTGAGAACTCTTTAAGCTGTTTCTTTCTGGGGCTGTTTGAGCTCATGCAGGTCATGACCCTGCCAGATACCTGTATGTCCCTCCCCCGGTCAGCTGGCTCTGCAAAAAGGCACAGCAAGACTAGTCAAGGTCAAACTCAACCGCGTCTTGCATCTAAGTGCTTGTCGAGTATCTCCCGGGTAACAGGTATATGGATGGCTAAACATTGTATCTCTCTCTCTCTCTATATATATATACACACATAATATAAAGCTGTTGCGGTTCTGAATACTGGGCTTCCGGGCCGGAGAAATGGAGGCGGCCGCGGCGAAGCCCAGAGTGGTAAGAGTTCGCTCGCAGGAATAAGCCCTGGGCGCAGGGCTTCTAGCTCTTCACATAAAGACTATGGCAGGAGGCCTTGGCATGTAGAATTCAGATGGCGTTATGCAGCCTTCCTTTGAGCTGCCTTCCTCGATGATGGTACGTCGGGACACAGGGACTACAGAGTCTGCGAAGGTGTGCTGGGAAGCGGGCCATTGTCACACTTTGCCCTAGATGACGGCCGAATTTTGTGGCTGCATACTAAGCATACTATCGTAGACTCGTCGTAGACTTATAGTCAGAAAGCCGACGGAATGATATTCGCAATTCTCCAGGCTTCTACATTGGACCAGGTCGGAGCTTGAGGCGAAATAACCCGGATTCATCTAGTGGATGTGAAGTTTGTGCTCGGTTACACCTGCACCCTCGCAATAGCTGCCGAAAAAGTGCTCACTCACACACTCACTCACTCTCTCTCTCTCTCTCTCTCTCTCTCTCTCTCTCTCACACACATGTGGATGGATGGATGGACGGACGGGTGTCAGGGGCGGGACGGGAGGGAGAGGAGGGAGGGGCAGGGGGCGGGAGCGGGTATCGAGTGAGGTGCGCTTCATCCTTACTACTACGTATGGGTGCCATGGAGCTTAGCAGCTGCCGTAATAAGAGTACTGTGCGTACCTTGAAGCCTTAAACTGTGCACAGACTGAACTGTCCAAGTGGCAGGGCGGCCTCATCGTATTCGGACATGGGCACAATATTCTGCCCGTACTTGAACCCCTTCCTCAGTCAATGGTTGCTTGAAGGTTCACGGGTTAGTCAATAGTAGGATGAAAAACAACCTCACTTGATGTTGAAGGCTTACACAACGATGTACCACCCAGCAGATCGTCCGGAGCAATTTCCGTGTTCCTGGCTATGCACTTCGAATCGGCGCCGGAATTGCTGGTTGACTGAGGGCATGTTGCCATGTCGCAAGACCTGCGATGGGCTTAATCAGTGAATGAGTCAAGAGGAGCACAATGGACGCTCACTACTTGGGCCTGCCAGATGGGACCTCCCCCAAACGCCCTAAGCCCTAAACGGGATTCCGGGCCAAGAGGGCCCCCCCGAGCAGTTGCTGTTGCGATCTTTTGCGGGCCTTCTTCATCTTCGGTTGCGGGTTTGTAGGATTTGGGGTTTACGGGTTTATCTCTCACACACACATGTGCAAGCTCAGGCTCACTCTGTCTTCCTTCTTGACCTCCTCCCCCTCCTTGTCGTCGGTCCTCAGTGCAAGCAAGCCGCAAGTTGAAGCGGTACATAATGGTGTCGTGAAGGCTGAAACTGCACCACTTCTCCAAACAATGCAAAAGCTTTCAGAGCTCGCCCTGAAACTTTGTAGCACAAGCTTCGCATAGTAGGTCCGATCCATAATCACTTTGTCGGTTTTCCGGCTGTCTTCCGGGATGGCCTTGGTGATCCATGAATTTACTTGCGGCTTTCCTCAGAGGTGCAGCATTGAAATTCGCGAGCCCCAGAAGCTCAGCTAGCTGTACGGTTGCACTCATTCGAGCATGCCACATGGTAGCCGCATCATACACATGACCAAGCCAGCCACAGATCTGCGTGTCTTACAGATTGAACTCGCTTCAAGTCCTCTGCATTAACAGCGCAAGCTATTCAGCGCATACACCAGACTTTTCCTACTTTCGCGCTGACAACAGCACTCCTTAATCCCGAATCTTTCCTAAACCTACTTCTAGAACATGCCTGAAGCCCTTCATCCCGTCTCATGCCAGTCTCTCCACCGTGGCAACCTAGCCCAGCTGCGCAACTAGCGTGTTGCTGGCATTCGTAGAGTAGCCCACCCTCTATCTTTATCTCCATCTCCATCTCTCTCTCTCTCTC